ATCTCAAACCACAGTTTCCTAGCAGGGATAACCTTCTTTGCCTTACCCTAGTCCATGAAAAACATAATTTTCATATCACAATCAATCCAGAAGAATATTATATCATTTCAGTGCTGTCACAACAGCAGAAGATCAAGTTTACCTCGTCCTCATATTGGGTGTACAACTTCTCAAATTTTTCTCCCCAAAGATCAGCTAAGCCAGGAGCCTCATTTGGACAAAACAAAGACCATTGCCCATCATTTTGGACTCTTTCCATGAAGAGATCAGGAATCCAGAGAGCATAAAATAGATCTCGAGCCCGATGTTCTTCCTGTTAAAAAAAAAATCGAGGACAAATTATCCTACACAACAGGTTTGAAGAAAAATCGAGGACAAAAATCATTGGGGTACAACAGTGTATCTGGAAACCCATTAAGTACCACATTTGGAGTAAAAGTCGCAGCATATAGATTTGCAAATTATTAAGCTAATCCTATTTCTGCTTCACCTTGCCATGGTTCTTTTTAAGATCTAGAAGATCAAATATATCAGCATGCCATGGCTCCAAATATATGGAAAAAGCACCTAAAAGGAAACAAAATTGATGATGTCAAACATGGAAGAAAAATAAATTAAATATTACAAACATTAGAACACATATAATGGAGCTCTAGATCTACTTTCTTTGAAATAACAATGTACATAAACACGGAGATGCTAGAACTTTTGAAAGTACCCTTTCTTCTGCCTCCCCCTTGATCAACATAACGAGCAGTGCTATTAAACACTCGAAGCATAGGCACAATACCATTTGAAGTACCGTTTGTCCCACGAATATAGCTACCTGTTGCACGAATATTATGAATGGAGATACCAAGCCCTCCAGCTGATTTGCTAATAATGGCACATTCCTTCAATGTATCAAAAATTCCTTGAATACTGTCGTCTTTCATGCACATAAGGAAGCAGCTACTCAACTGCAATTAACATTTAAAGTGAAAAATATATATACATATAAACATGGTAAATATAAAAGTCCAAGCAGTAGAACTTCCAAATTGCAGAAATTATCTAATCATACATACTTGGGGCTGTGGAGTTCCTCCATTGAAAAGGGTCGGAGTAGCATGAATGAACCAACGCTGGGACATCAAATGGTAGGTTTGGAGAGCAGACTCGATGTCATCCTTGTGTATACCAACAGAAACCCTCATCAACATGTGCTGCGGCCTTTCCACAATCTTCTCATTTACCTTTAAAAGGTAGGACCTCTCTAGAGTTTTAAAACCAAAGTAGTCATAATCAAAGTCTCTTTCATAAATGATCTCACTGTCCAGGCGTGAAGCATTCTGAAACAAATGAAGAGAAAAATAAGCCAGTGGAATCCTCATCCTTTTTTTTTCTTTCCCCTCTCTGTCAAATGTCAAGAGTATGACTCATCACTCTTTATGAACTTAACTACATTAACCATAAATTTATTCAACTTTACTTTACAATTATAAGCACATAATCAGTAGCTAACTAAGCTGCATATGCTCATAATTACCGGTGTCAAAAATATATAAGCATTGTTAAAAGTTAGAATAGAAAATGTTCCATCAGATTAATTGAATAAAATTATATGAGTACCTTCATAATTATTTCATAAACATCATCAGCAACCAGAGGAGCCTTCTTCCCAGACCTTTTATCAAAGAAGTTGTACATGACTCGAATCCTGAATCACTCATTGATAAAAATTACTTCCTTTAGCATGCAAATCCAATCTTCAAGCCCCAAGAAAGCCTCAAAAACCAAATTAAACAAAACAAAACCAGTTGGGCTAAATTAAACACTCACGTTTCCGAAAATGACTCCTTTGTACTCTTATGCAGATTCGAAACAGAGATCCTAGCTGCCAACTACACAAAATTTTTACATCAACCACATAAAACAGCAAAAGGAAGGCAAACTCATTATTGACCAAAATTTCAAACTCAATATAACACACATAAACAACAACATTAACAGCAACAACAAGAGCAGCAGCATTGTTAAAGCTTAAAACTATGCACAATAACTCGAAATTCAACAAACCCATATAGTAAAACTAAGCAAGAGGACCAACCAAAGCATAATCAGGGTGGTTTGTAGCCATAGCCGCCGCAGTCTCAGCAGCCAACTCATCAAGTTGTGTGGTGGTGACTCCATTGTAGACCCCATCACAGACCTTGTGTGCCACGAGCACCGGGTCACAGTGCGCGGCATTAAGCCCATAACTAAACCTCTGTAGACGGGCAGCAATCTTGTCTAATTGCAACGGTTCTTGGCGCCCATCCCTCTTAACCACGTACATTTCTGTAAGCCTCAGAAGAAAGTTTGAGATGATGGGTTTCCAGAGTGTGAAATGAATGTGAATTGGGACTTTCGTCGAACGAGTTGCAGGGACAATTGGTGTGTGACCACATGAGTGAGTGTTGGGGTGTTTTATACACACTACACAGAGACGTGGGTGTGCGATCGAAGAAGAGTATAAGAGAAGGAAGAGTGCAAGAGAAGGAAGAGTTCAAGACTCGAGAACCAAGACAGAGTTTGAACCGGTGGTTATTTTTCTTGTGTTTCTTCCTTTTATTCTGTTTTTTTCCCCACATTGGCGGTGTTTTTATAGGGCATCACAATCATGCTCCTTCTTTTTTAATTAAAACTAGCCCTTGGAGCATGTGTCAATTGGTTTTATTTTTTAATTTTTATTTTATTTTTAGAATTAAGAAAAGATAATATGGGTTGTTATGTTCTATTAAAATATAATATATTATCTGATTTAGTTTTTAATTTTAATTTTTTTAATATGAAAAAAGTGAATTTACCATATTATCTTAATTTAATTAATAATTTCAATTCTTAAAGTTTGAATTAACCAAGGGCATTTTCTAGTATTTTGAATGTTTCACCATTCTCCGCATTTTGCTTTTTATATATATAGATTTAAAAAAAAATACTTAGAAAGTTATTTTAGGATCTTCTAATAAAATTTTAATTCCAACCATATTCTGTAATTTAGGGGATCATAAATGATTTATTTATTTTTTTAATTTAGCATAAATGCTTCATTTTCATATAAAATAATAATAAAAAATAGTTAGCATTAAATAAATACTTAAAATAGCATTAAAGTAAAGTAGTATTTAATTATAGGGAGCTACTAAGAGCATCTACAATGGGCTCCCTAAACTACCTCCTTAGACAAATTTTAGGGATGAATGATAAAAATGCAACTCCAATCACGCTCCCTATCCACCTCATAAAATAGGGAGTTCTCTAGAAGCTCCTAAATCTGAGGAGAGAGAAATGACTCATAGTGACTCCTTATAATTTAATGCTGCTTTATTTAATGAGTATTTCAAACATTTATTTAATGCTAACCATTTTTTATTTTATTTTTTAATAGGGATGGACCAATCAAAAAAGAGTTATAGCATTTATAACTCTCCAAATTAGGGAGTATGGTTGGAGTTAAATTTTTTTTGAGAGCTCCTAAAATAGCTTTCTTATATTCTTAGCCAAATTTTAGCTAAAAAATAGAGAGCATCATTGTGGATGCTCTAAGAGTCATTTCTCTCTCATTAGATTTAGGAGCTCCTAGAAGTCTCCCTATTTTAGGACTTGGATAGAGAGCATGGTTGGATGTGGGTTTTCTCACTTCCTCTCTAAACTTTATCTAAGGAGATGGTTTAAGGAGTTCATTGTGTATGTTCTAAATCCATATTTTACATAGATGAAGTGGATGTCAACATAATACATAATACCTAATAAATGACCTAACCCACAATCTATTTGTAATAGGGGTGGGCATCAAAATGGGAATACCGAAACCATCTTGAAACTATGCCAATTTCATGCCATCCCGTTTGGTGTTGACATGTAAACGGGATGATATCGGGTCATCTCGTTATTGTTTGACACAACATTGGTTCCACATTTGTAATCCCGGTTGGTGTCATACCGTACCAAACAGTACATTATTTTTATTAATCCTAATATAATTTTAGTTCCAACCTTACTCTCACAGATATTTCGTCGACTCTTTCTCTTTGTTTCTTTGTGTGCATTCTTTCCTTTCCTCTGTCAAATTCTTCCCTTCTCTCCTCTTCTCCTTTCTCAATCACGATTTGAAGCCATAATTCCCAAATCCTCCACCATCAATCGATCTCATCTTCTCCTCCTCCTCCTCCTCCTCTCTCCCTCTCTCTCTCCCCCCTCTCTCTCTTCC